CTATCTCATTGAGGGTCTCTCTCTTGTATTGTCCCTCCACCCTTCAAAGTACGACAACACTCTCCAAGGACTGATCTCTCCTTGCAACATGTCTAAAGTATGTCAGACAAAGCTTCAGAATCTTTGCCTCCAAGGAGCAGCCTGGTTTCATCCTCTCTCGGACAAACCTGCTTGTTCTTCTAACAGTCTATGGTATATTCAATACTCTTCTCCAGCTCAACAGCTCAAAGGCATCAATTCTCTTTGTATCATCTCTAGTAATTTTCCAGTATTCTAATGCATAGCAAGTAATAACAAAGGCTATGGCCCAAATCAGGCACACCTTAATCTCCAGCCTGACATCGTTGCTCTTCAGTATTTTGGAGAGGTCTCTAATTGCAGACTTTCCCAATGCCAATTCTTTTAATCTCCTGGCTGCTGATACCAAGAGTGTTGATTGTGGAGCCAAGCAAACTAAAGCTGTTTACAATATCAACCTCTTCATCATCTATCATGATGCTGCCAATCGGCCCAGTGGTGAGAATATTTGTTTTCTTGATGTTGAGCTTTAATCCATATTGAAGGCTGTAGTCGACCTTCTGCAGCAACCGCTTCAGGTCCTCCTCAATTTTACCAAGCAAGCTTGTGTCATCTGCATAACACAAATTGTTGATGAGTTTGCCTCCAATCCTGATGCCACATTTCTCCTCATAGAGCCCAGCCAACTGGATAACCTGTTCTGCATAAAGATTGAAAAGATATGGAGATAGGACACATCCCTGGCATACACCCTTCCCAATTTTGAACCATGCAGTGTTTCCTTGCTCTGTTGACTGCCTTTTGGTCCAAGTATAGGTTTTGCACTATCAAGTGTTCTGGAAATCCCATTCTTCTCAGAGTTAGCCACAGTTTGTTGTGATTACCATAGGAAGTTTGTTGTTGTTACGTGCCGTCGAGTCACTTGCGACTCACAGTGACCCTATGTACAACAGCTCTAAACTCTGCTCTGTCCTGTGCAAATCTCATTGTCTCTGATACACTCATCTCAATTGCCCCAGTCACTGAATCAATCCATCTCCCAGAGGGCCTTCCCCTCCTGCGCCTGCCCTCCACCCTCCCAAGCATGATGTCCTTCTCCAAAGACTGGTCCCTCCTTACAACATGACCAAAGTATGTCAGACGAAGTTTCAGAATTCTTGCCTCCCAGGAGCAGCCCAGTTTAACCCTCTCCAGGATGAATCTGTTTGTTTTCTTAGCAGTTCATGGTACCCTCAGCACTCTTCTTCAACACCAAAGTTCAAAAGCATCAATTCTCCTTCTATCCTCCCTGGTCATTGTCCAGCTCTCTGATGCACAAGTGATTGCAAAAACCATGGCCTGTACCAGGTGCTCCTTAGTCTCCAGAGACACATGGTTAACTCTTGAGTACTTTAGAAAGGTCCCTAACAGCAGACTTTTCCATCTCAATTTGTTTTTTAATTTCCTGGCTGCTGGTGCCAAGAGTGTTTATTGTGGAGACAAGCAGACTAAAGCTGTGAACAATCTCAATCTCTTCACCATCCATCCTGATGCTGCCAATTGGTCCAGTGGTGAGAATCTTTGTTTTCTTGATGTTGAGCTTTAATCCATATTGAAGGCTGTAGTCGACCTTCTGCAGCAACCGCTTCAGGTCCTCCTCTGTTTCAGCAAGCAGGGTTGTGTCATCTGCATAATGCATATTGTTGATAGATCTTCCACCAATCCTGATGCCACATTTCTCCTCCTAGAGCCTAGCTTCCTGGATGATCTGTTCTGCATACAGGTTAAAAAGGTATGGAGACAGGACACATCCCTGGTGTACGTCCTTCCCAATTTTGAACCATGCAGTGTTTCCTTGCTCTGTTCTGACGACTGCCTCTTGGTTCAAGCATAAGTTTCGCATTAGAACGATCAAGTATTCTGGGATTCCCCCTCTTCTGAGTCAGCCACAGTTTGTTATGGTCAACACAGTCAAATGCCTTTGCATAATCAATGAAGCACAAATAGACATTCCCGTGGTACTCCCTGCTTTCAGCCAAGATCCATCTAACATTAGCTACAATATTCCTAGTACCACGACCCCTTCTAAACCCAGCCTGGAATTCTGGCAGTTCTCTGCAGATGTGCTGTTCCAGTCGTTTTTTGATAATCTTCAGCAGAATCTTGCTTGCATGTGAAGTCAACTATATTGTTCTATAGTTTCCACACTCTGTTGGGTCACCTTTCTTTGGAATGGGAACAAATACAGGTATCTTCCAGTCAGTTGGCCAAGTGGTTGTTCTCCAGATTTCTTGACACAACTTGCTGAAGTTTATATTTTTTTCATTATATTTTCATCAACAATAATCAACACCCTTACTAATAAGTACAGAAATAAGAAGATGTGCTGCTTTGGAAAAATCTGTTGTAAGGAAATTCTTCAAAGTCCTAAAGAGTAATGATGTCAATTTTAAGACTAGCGTGTGACTAAGCTAAGCCATGGTCCTTTCAATTGCTTCCTGTGCATCTGAGTAAGGATGCCAGAAGCAATGGTGCCTTTGAATTGTGGTATTAAAGAAGAGTATTGAAAATCCCATTGACTGCCAAAAGAATGAACAAGTTGTCTTGAAAGAGGTGTAGCCAGGGTACTTCTTAGGCAAAGATGGTCAAACTTGGGCTCATATATTTTTGGCATGTTGTCAGGAAGGACTTATCCTTGGAAAAGTACAAAATGATGGGAAAGGTGGAGGGAGGGTTAGAGGCAGAGAGAATCTTCAGCAAGATAGACTGACATAGTGACTCTAACAGTGGGGATATCAGGGTGTATCAAAGATGGTGAGGACGGCACAGGGCAGGGCAAGGGTCACATCTGTGTTGTTTGTAAGGTTGCTATGACTTGTCAAATCGATGGTTAACTAACAATAACAGCAACATTTTCATTGGTTAACACTTAGAGAGTGTATTTTACTGCATGAGAGGAAGAAGCCTGGTCTTAAGAGAGTTCTACTGAAAGAGCTTTTGGTCTCCTCACTTCTACATTTGACCATCTATAAAGCAAGGAGTTGTTGTCACGTGCTGTCGAGTCGCTTGCGACTCATAGTGACCCTATGTACAAAATAGCCCTAAACCCTCCTCTATCCTGTGCCAATCGCACTGCCTCTGACACACCCATCCTGATTACCCCAGTCACTGAATCAATCCACCTCCTAGAGGGTCTTCCCCTCCTAGCTGTCCCTCCACTCTCCCTAGCATAGAGGGTCTAGCATGATGTCCCTCTCCAAGGACCTCTCCCTCCTTACAACATGTCCAAAGTATGTCAGACGAAGCCCCAGAATTCTTGCCTCCAAGGAGTAGCCTGGTTCAACCCTCTCCAGGCTGAATCTGTTTGTTTTCTTGGCAATCCATGGTACATTCAATACTCTTCTCCAGCACCACAGCTCAAAGGCATCAATTCTTCTTCTATGCTCCCTAAACATTGTCCAACTCTCCAATGCATAACACGTGATTGCAAAGACCATAGCCTGTATCAGATGCACCTTAGTCTCCAGAATGACACCATTGCTCTTCAGTACCCTGGAGAAGTCCCTAACAGCAGACTTTCCCATCGCAATATGTGTTTTGATTTCCTGGCTGCTGGTGCCAAGAGTGTTGACTGTGGAGCGAAGCAAACTAAAGTTGTTAACAATCTCAACCTCTTCACCATCCATCCTAATGCTGCCAACTGGTCCAGTGGCCTAGTGACAAGAAGCTGCACTGTAATCCCAGAGTTACGCTGTTTGAATCCACCAGATGCTCTGCCGGAGAAGGAGGGCAATCTCCTCTTGTACCAATCAGACCAAAGCAAGGAGATATCATTTAAAAGCCAATTTTATCATGTTTCTCTCTTGCGTGAAACTACTGTCTTCTCATTGCCTCTTAAAAAAAACCAAACCAAACAAAAACACCTAGATTTTGCCATCCTTAAAGTCATCATGAGCAGAACAGATGACCTCATGGTTCCCTTTGTTTCTGATTGGCCCCCCTAGTGCTCTCACTTTGGGGCCTTTGTCCTTGCTGCCCTTCACCTCAATGCGCTTTTCTCAGATCTTTACAAGCTTGGCTTTTTCGTCCATCACCTTCACTGACAACCCTTCTGTGCCTCGCCAACTTTAACAATTTTCTTTCCTTCTCACCGTCAAGTGCATTAGTCATTCTTATCAGCTTAACTAAACATCTTCAAGGCCCCTCGTCTTTTAAGGAAGGGATGGATGGCTTGATAAACAAAGGATTGAAGTCGATTCACCTTTTCAATGAACCTAACTCTAACTCTAACTCTAGTTCAAGGATATCTAGAAACCCGGGAGAGTAAAGTTTACCAGGGTTAAATGAAAAGAGCAAGGGGGTGGAGAGTCAAGGAAGAAAAAGCAGTGCAGCATATTCTCTTCCAGAAGTTTGAGACTTAACATGACGTTTGCACCGGGGAAACATCACACAATCAGTTTTGTTTTCTTTTTTTCAGGCACACACAAAGGGTAAGGAACAGAAGTGTGGGAAGAACGGGAGGTGAGCGCGCTCCAAACACTCGGGCGGAGCCTAGAGTCGCAGCCTGATGGGGCGCCTCTTGCGCCGCGGGCACCCGCAACCGCCCCCTTCCGTCCCCCCCCCCCTTGCCGCACGTGACCGAGGATCGGGGAGCGCATCCGGTTCTGTGCCGCGCTGAAATAGCTTTCAAAACACTAAATGCAACAAACATCTTTTCTTGCGCTAGAAACAAAACCAAACCCAAATCCTTTTAAACGCGCAGCAGCGGCCAGGGCGGAGGTACCGTTACTGCTGCAGCAGCTCCGCCGTCTACCCCGACAATAACCCTCCCCGCTCGGCGCAGAAGCGCGCGCAGTGACGCCCTCGGGCCGGAAGTGCGCAGGCGCCGCGCGGGCTCGGGGGCCGCTGCCGGCGCCGGACAGTTCGCGCGGGAGCCGGGAGCCTGGGCGCCGCGACTGCAGATCGGTGGGAACGGAAGCGCAGCCGGGGGCCAGGGCGCTAGGATGGCGACTCCGAGTCGGAAGGCGACGACCCCAGCCTCCCAGGCCCCCAAGAGAGTTCTTCCGAGAGAGACTCCGTCGGAGATCCCGAGCAAGAGAAAGAGTTCTGGCCCATCCACGCTGCCGCCGGCGTCCCTGCTGCCGGTACCCCTGCAGTCGTCCGGGCCTTTCGTGGAAGGCTCGATCGTGCGCATCGCCATGGAGAACTTCCTGTAAGTGGTCCTGAGGCCGCGGCTCGCCGGCGCCCACAGCGCGCGTGTGCCGGCGGCGGGGGTGTGTGCGTCGGGGGGGGCCCGGGACCCCCGCCGGGTGTGAGCCCCCTGGTCGGGCTGGCGGTGAGTCCGCGCCGAGAACGAGTCGGGGCTGCTGGGGACTCCGACGCAGGCCAATTAGCGGCACATGAGTCTCGGGGTATAGCTGTGTGTTGTGTAGCTCGTTATTTTCATACATTTTTTTTTAAAAACATACAATGGAAGTTCTAGGGACGAAGTGTCAGCGCACTGGGATTTTCGGACTGGAGGGGTAATCAGTCTTGTGAATGAGCGAGTCACAAAACTGTGGGCCCTGGCAATTTAGGAGGGAAATGTAGGAGCAGTGATTTTCTTGCTAATTCTTAAAGAATAAACATTTGCCCGGTGGACAAAGAAGTTGCGCCTGACTGAGGAAACGTTTCTGAAAGATTGTTCTTCTCAGCAGATACCTGATTTTCTCCAAGTCTGCCCTGGTTCCGGTCTTTTCCTTTCTGTGAACCATTAACTATTTTATAGTAGATTTAAATACCTTTTACTGAAAATGCCGTATATATTTAACAAATATCCGACAGTTTGTTCAAGTTTTTCATATTTTCCGTTGTCTATTTGTTGTTGCTTAAACTTGCACACAGTAAGCTTGGGACAACAGAATTGTAATCAATACCACCATCTTCTAGCGCCTCTCATGTGCCCTGTCCAGAACTAGGTGCATTATTTATTTACACTGTGCCTTCTTGGTTTATTCGTAACTGCAGTGTATCATCTGCCTTGATGAGCCAGGATCAGTGGAGATTTACACAGATAAGTAGCTGAATTGCCATTAGCCTCTAGTTCAGGGATCTCTGGTGGCTGGTTGTTGTTAGGTGCCGTCGAATGTGACTCATTGCAACTCTGGAAGATTAGATCTGAGGTTTGCCCTTTCCTTGCCATCCTCATCATCTCAGCCCCACTACAGTCCTTGTCACATTCAGTTTGTTAGTCCGTCTTGATGCGGATCTTCCCCTCCTTTGCTGACCCTCCGTTTGTCCGAACTTGATTGTCTTTCTCCAAGAACTGGCCCTTCCTAACAAGATGTGCCAAGTATGGGAGAGGAAGTTTCACCGTCCTTCCTTTTAAGGAACATCCTGGTTGCACTCTCTCCAAACATATTTGTTTGTTCTTTTGGCAGTCTGTGGGATGTTTGATGCTCCTCTCTAGTACCGCAGCTTAAAAGCACTTATTCTTCTGTTACCTGTATTCACTCATTCTCTGGTGGCTTCTTGTTGTTGTTTACCTTGAGTCAGAATCGGCCCATAACTGTCTCTCCAGAGGGTTTCCAGTAGAGGCAATTAATTGCACGGGAGGTTGCCCACCTTTCTCTCATGGAGCAGCTGGTGGATCCCAACCATGTACCTTTGTTTGCATTAGCAGCACAGTTCTTTCCACTGCCAACTGAAAGGTACACGGTTTGAATCCACCTACTTCTCTGCTGGAGAATGATGAGCAACCCCCTGTGCCGGCCATTTACTGCCCCTGAAAACCCACTGGAGGGTCATCTGTGGGTCAGTTCCAACTTGTTAGTACATAGCAACAACATCTAGAGCAGATGAGGTTGATACCATAGATTCCTTGAGGGCAGAGAAGTGGTTAATTGCTCATAATGCAGCTACTCAGAAGTTAAAACATTTTAGGGAGTATTTTGTAGTACACCTCAAGTGTTGCATTTGAGAGAGAGGGAGTGTGTGTGTGTGTGTGTGTGTGTGTGTTATGTATGTGTGAAAAATATGTGAGTAGAGGGTCTTTTAGTTGGGTGGTGGTATTAAGTGCCATCAAGTCGCCTGTTGACTCATAGTGACCCTATGTACAACAGTTCTGAAGCCCGCTTTGTCCTGAGCCAGTCTGACTGACTCTGACACAACAATCCCTGTTCCCAGTTATTGTATCAATCCCATCTCATCTGGGGTCTTCCTCTCCTGTGCTGTCTCTTCCCCTTCCCAAGAATGATATCTACTTATCTGAGGTTCACTCCCTCCTGGCTATATGCCCAAAGTACGTGAGACGGGTCTTCAGAATCCTAGCCTCCAAGGAGAAATTTGGTGTCACCTTCTTCAAGATAGAACTATTTGTTTTCTTGCCAGCCCATGGTAAATTCAAGACTCTTCCACCACCACATCTCAAAGGCATCAATTCTTTTATCATCCTTAGACATTGTCCAGCTCTCTGAAGCTTAGCAAGTAATTGTGAGGATCATAGCCTGCATCAGGCACACCTTAGTCTTAGACTGACATCATTCCTTCTCAGTCCTCTGCAACGGTCCCTGACAGCAGATTTACTTAATGCAGTTTGTCTTCTGTTTTCCTGACTGCCGGTGCCAAGAGCAAACTAACTTAGCAATCTATTCAATCACCTCCATGCATCATGGTGCTTCCAATTGACTGAGTGAAAATCTTTGTCATCTTTTTTTTTATTATTGTTATTAATTTTAATAGAAATTTACAGAGGTTTTGGATTTCCATTCATTCACTGCTGCACTTTTCTCCCTGCCCACCCCTCCCCACCAGCTCGCTTCCCCCTCCAAGAGAAAAAGAAAAAAAAA